TGGCTTTCCTATTGCCTATAAGGAAAACAGAGGCCCAGGAAATAGAATTTTTGGCTTCTGGAAAAGAGGGCCCTTTTAATTCAGGGTAATGATCTGTACACAGGAATTGGTAGAGATTCCCATGAATTCATTGAGAATGAACTTGGACTATTTGTAGTATTTAGGTCCCAGAGAATTAAGGAATTTGATGTGTTTCAGTAGAGCAGAGATTTCTGGGTTGGCTTTTGGATATAAGGAGAGAGGATTTAAAGAGTTGCAATTTTCCTGAGGAATGAAAGCCTGGCTATATGAATATTAGTGAGCTCTACCTAGTCCTGGTAAACTAGGCAATCTGATTTGGGATTTTGACTGTGTGTGGGCAGGAAGGGAGATAATAAAAACTTTGGGGCAAGGGCAGAATGAGGTTACCTGTCCTGTCATTCACGGAAAGAGGACATTTTATCTGGCAGAGTGAGCAGCCAAAGGCATGTTCAAATATGTTTTTAATATAAGAAACTGCTACATGTATTACAATAGCGCTGTCAATAAACGGTAGGGTAGAATGGGGGTTGGGAATGAAGAGATTACAAGCAAGTGTAATTGTCTCAGTAAAGAGGAAGCAGGCATAGCTGGACTGGCTTCTGGAATAGAAGGAACAAGGTGGAAGTGGTGGCAGAAGACATCTTTTACTTTTTATTGATAGCCTACTATGGACCAGGCATGGTGCTGGAGATTGCCATGGTTCCTGCTCTCCAGCTATTTACAGTCCACTAGAGGAAGTAAGTGCATCATGCTAGGGGAGCACTGAGGAGGCCTCTGCATCCTTAGAAGGAGCCTTTAGGGGTCAAGGAACTCTCCCTTAAAAATAAATTTTTTTTTCATCTTTTAGGAAAGCAAGTGAGGACTGCAGTACCACCTGGAGTTTTAAGGGAGGGGAAAAGGTGTGGAGGGTAAAAGGGAGACTGGGGCCTGTGTGTTGAGGCCAAAGGGGTAAGGCAGCGGTCCCCAACCTTTTTGGCACCAGGGACTGGTTTCGTGGAAGACAGTTTTTCCATAGACGGGGGTAGGGTGGGGGGTGGGGGGAGGGGGGATGTTTTCGGGATGATTCAAGCGCATTACGTTTATTGTGCACTTTATTATTATTACATTGTAATAAATAATGAAATAATTATACAGCTCACCATAATGCAGAATCAGTGGGAGCCCTGAGCTTGTTTTCACTTGCCGCTCACTGATAGGGTTTTGATATGAGTCTGCAAGCAATTGATTTATTATGGTCTCTGTGCAGTCAAACCTCTCTGCTAATGATAATCTGTATCTGCAGACGCTCCCCAGAGCTAGCATCACTGCCTCAGCTCCACCTCAGATCATCAGGCATTAGATTCTCAACCTAGATCCCTCGCATGTGCAGTTCACAGTAGGGTTTGCGCTCCTATGAGAATCTAATGCCGCCACTGATCTAACAGGAGGCGGAGCTCAGGCAGTAATGCCAGCGATGGGGAGCGGCTGTAAATACAGATGAAGCTTCGCTCGCTCGCCCGCTGCTCACCTCCTGCTGTGCGACCCGGTTCCTAAGAGGCCATGGGCCGGTACCGGTCCATGGCCTGGGGCTTGCGGACCCCCCGGGGTAAGGGAAGAGTGACTAAGATGGCTATCAGGTAATCAAAAGGAAAGTAAATATAGGAAAAGCAGGTATTGCAAGAAAGAAAAGTTGGCTCTTATTGTCAAGAGGTGATAGGTTGGCCTGCTTCTGAGGTGGCAGCTTTGTCATGGCCCATTGCAAACAGTCAAGGGGCTCCACATCCTGGGTGCAGACAAGCCAGTACTGAAGCTTCTGAGATGCAGGGAACCATGGTATGGGGGTGCTACACAGCAGCTAAATAGAGTAGAATGGAGATGTAAGGAAGAAGCTTAAGCTTTTCAAATAAAGCTCGGAAGAACTAAACGTGTTAGTCTGGAATAGCAGGAGGCATGGATGAAGTGTTAAACATGAACAAACAGAGCAAATGCTCATTTCAATTTCTAGAGCTCTGAGGGACATCTGGTAAACCAAAGCTGCCTCAGCTCCAGTGTTTGAGTGGGATGGTGGTAGGGTGTATGACCCAGGCTTGACAGGGATTTAAGAAAAAGGTTTTTGGACCTTTCATCCCATTTGTTTGCAAAGAGTACTATTAGCATTTAGACTAAGATTCTTCTCTATCAGCTTAGCAGAAGTGCCTATCGTTAAGGGATAGAGGCAGTGATGGGTGAAGGGAGGATGATAAGCCAGAGGCCATATCTTTAAAGTTTTCCAAGTTCATGCTGGGGAAAAGAGAATTATCTTCCATGCTCAACTTGACCTGTCTGAGGACCAGCTCAAGAGTTTTCCTGAGGAAGGAAAGCAGAATGCCTTCAGAAGGGATGACTTATGAGTGCAATCTAGGCAGTTTGGTCTTAGACCCTGAGGTAGCCCTGGTCCTAAAGGCAGTATCAGCTGCAGTAGAAAGAAGAGGAAACACGAGGGGTCAGAGAAGCTTTGGCCCACTCTTTTACAAGACATTGGATTTCAGAGAGGGGAGGCTGCTTGCCCAGGGTCCTACAGTGGGTTTAGCAGTAGCTTTCCACCATCAAGCTGCTTTCACTGAAAAAGGGTGAAGGCAAAAGAAAACAAACGGGCAAAACTAAGGAAAAGGTACATTCTTAGGCTTCTACAAATAAGGACAACCATGACCATCTTGGGAGCCCTTTTATATTGGTGTTCACTGGGGTCTTTTATGCCTGCATATGTAAAATTAGGTCGATCTGTTTGGAAGGTACCCAGTAATTCTCACTAATATGTCCATCATTTAGAGTTGTGCTCTCCAATACAGTGGCCAAGTGTCATATGTGACTAATTACAATAAAAAGTCAATTCCTCAGTCATACTAGAGATACATCCCTAAGTAATCAATGGCCAATGTGGTTAGTATCTGTTGGATCAAACAGGGCAGCTATACATAGAACATTTCTATCTCAGGCCTATTGGACGGTACTGATCTAGACATAAGACCTGGTTTGTAGTAGCTGCTTTATAAGTTGACCCTTAAACAATGTGGGGGTTGGGGTGCCAACTCCCCTGTGCAGTTGAGAATCTGCATATAACTTTTAGCTGGCCTTCCTCATCTGTGGTTCTGCATCCATGGGCTCATCCAGCAATGGATCATGTAGTACTGTAGAATTTATTATTTAAAAAAAATCTGTATATAGGTGGACCCATGCAGCTCAAACATTATTCAGGGTCAACAGTAAATAGTTGTTGGATGAATGGTCCTCTGGACTGTCTGCCATTGCTAGTAAGAGTTTTGGTTCCCACTCTTGCCTTTCTCCTTTCTGGCCAACATAGCCAAGAAAGTTGCAGGAACCCAGATTGGAGTCTCTAGGTCCACACAGCAGAGGATGTGATCTTAAGGCTCTGGAGAAGGCAAGATGAGGTATCTTGAGATGAGATTCACCCTGAGTTGGCTTGCCTGCCCTCTAGCTGCAACCAGACCTGATGGTAGCACCCAGACGTAACAACCACTGGAGCAGGTGGCTGGGGAGATGGGGCACGCTGTGCCACGTGGAGGCACATCGACTTTCCAAACTTCAAGCTTTGCCACTCAGAGCATGAGGGAGCCACACCCCATCTTTACCTGATCCAGAGTCAACTTCTCACCACAGGAGGAGGTGAGTGGGTGAAGGGAACTCGAGGGGAAAATGGAAAGAGAGATGTGCTGAGGCAGTTCTTCCCGAGGGTCAGTTATGGAAGGCTCATGTGAAGGGAGATAATCTATGTTGGAGGGTAAGTAGCCCTCATAGGCAGGAAGGTAGTCCACTGGGAGGACTGTCGAGGGGCTGGCTGGGTTTCCTGGTGTTGAGTCGGGGCCCTTGCTCCCCAGCACCTTGTACAGATCCACCCCTTGTCCTGTCTCTGCTGTGAGAGCTCTCGGAGGTGGGGGGCTCGAGGCACTGTATCCTGTGTCTTCCTCAGAGGTATAGTGACCTTGGACTCCTTGTCCCTTTTCTGGCCAGTTGGGGTGATGGGAACGTCTGAAGGCTGGGGTCACTTGGTGAAGGACTTTGTTGATGACCAGGGTCTCAGGTTCCTCGGGAGTGGGACAGTCTGTCAGGAGCCTATCCAAGGCCAGCTGCGTCTTCTCCTGAGAAAGGGGAGGAAGAAACTCATGTGGCTATGTTGAGTAAGTAGCCATGACGACCGACTTCTCCAGGGTTCCAAAAGGCCTGGCAGCCTGCACTGCCTAGTCAGCTTGATGTGGAACACTGTGGGCCTTTACTTTGTGAGGTAAGAGAAGCAGTTAACATTGCTGGGGAGGCAGACAGGCAGGAGCCGTGGACTCCTCTCAACCCCAGCCAGTGAGTGATTCGCTACCCTGCTCAACCTTCAACTAGACTTGTTTCTGGTGAGTCAAACTGCACCAGCTGCTTTTCCTCTAGCAGAGAGGGTACGAGGGTGTGCAAAGGTAAGGGCTGAGCTTGCATCTGTCTGGGGATGAGGCACAGAAGAATTTAAAAGGGTCACACTAGGGCTGAATCCTGAGAGATGTATAGTATTTTCCAGGTAAGGAGGTGGTGGGCAAGGAGAATTGGTCTATTCTGGAACCTGCTAGTTCTTTCTTAGGACAGACACACTGAGGCTTCAGAAATAGAAGGAGGTCACATGTTGAAGGGACTTTTATGGGATGCTAAAGACGTTGGGCTTTGATACAACTACTGAAGGTTTTTTGTCAGGGTAATATCCTTGTCAGTTATGCTCATAAGAAAGAACCCTCTGGAATAACTTTTTTGGAAATGATGTTCATCCTTTCTTCCCTACAGCTAATTTCAGTTGTTACTTTTCTTGCTTTGTCTTTCTCGACATCTAATTGGTTACCAGCTCTTCAGTGTCATATCTTTCCTTTCCAAACTTATTACTGATTCCTGAGTCAAGTTCAAGCACTTTATTAACATTTCTTTTTACAGGCTTTATTGGGCTCTCTTTACGTCCTTGAAACTATGTTTTATGCTGACTGCTTGATCTTTCTGAAGCAGATCTCCAAAGCCTGCTTTCATGAAGCCCCTAGTGACTGTTCCCTCCACTGGATTCCTACAACAGCAAAGAAGCCACCTGTTAGGTTCTTAGCACAAGAAGCTTTATGCTGTCACTTTTTATTTTATTTTTTTAACATGTCTGTAAGCTATCTGCAAGTAGGGACCATGCCTTAAGGGAGGAGGAGAATAACAAAAAATAGCATTAGGACAGGGCAAACCCTGAGGACTAGTCCCAACTCGGAGACTCTACGGCTTGGGAAAACTCAGTCTACCTGTCTGGCCTTTGGATCCCTCATCTGTCGGATGCCAAGTTGTGCAAGAATGGTTTGGTTTGGACTGGCCTCTGATGTCCCCACCCTTGCCTTGAGCATGGCAATTGTCCCCAAAGTGAATGACGATGCTGTCTTAGGGTAGACTTCTGCAAAGGGCGCTGAGCAGCCAGAGGGTGCGTGTGTACTTTTCTTTCGGGAGCCTGCTTTTTCCCTATCGCTATGCAAACTGGCCCTGGCACATTGGTCTGGCTTGGAACGTGACTGGCAGCGGCCTAAGTGCTGAGGCCACTGCTATGGAAGAGATCTCACTGGATGAGGATCACGTTGTTTTCACAGTGCGAGGCTCTGCCTTCTTGAAAGCTCTGGCAGTATCAATAGAGGCTGTTCCTCAGAGCTTTTACAAAGCAGCCCCCCTGGCTGACAAGTCCTGGGGCAAGGCGTCTTGGACCACTAATAACTCAGGTACATCATGGAAACTATTTTAAGCTTTTACAAGCTCAAAATAGATAACATCCCAGTGATCCCCTTTATGACTGGGCCTTTTCCTCTACAGCTTTAAGACCCATGGCTTTTTAGCTACATTTTAAGCAATGGTAGGGGGATGTACAGTCTGAGAACTTAAAGCACATTTTGTTGGAGGTGAAAGACTGTTGTGTTTCTGATGTCTGCCCCAGCCTGTCACCAGGAGAGCAGTTTGGGTCTTTAAAAACAGTTTACCCCTTCAAGGGTCAAGTGACATGGGGTTCTGAGGCTGCCACAAGGCCATCATAGATGGCATGTTTAATTTTTTTTTAAATTTTCTAATTTACTGGTTATTTTTGCAAAAGAAATATATGCACATAGTTTTGTAAAAAAATTTTTTAAGTTCAAAGGGAATTTGTAATAAAAATTAAGTGGGCTTCATGCCTACAGCTGCCTCCCCAAAGGCAACCACCATTATCAGTTTCATATTTAGGCTTCCAGAAATATCCTGTGCACATGTTGGAGACTGTGTGTGTGTGTATAAAATCATCTTTTTATACAAATGAGAACCCACTTTAGACAATTAGTACAAACTTTGCTTTTTTTCACTTTTAAATATATTAGAGATGTTAGACACATACAGATCTCATTTTTTTTTAGTAGTTGCATAACATCCTGTTGTACAGATATACCCAAATGTTTAACCTAGCCCCCTGGTGGCCGGTTACGTTATGGCTTCTGTTTATAATGCTGCAGTGAACATCCCCATACTGTACAGCTTTGGGCATGTGTATGGCAATTTCTGTTACTTTTTCCATGTGTTACTTTCTCTAACTCTTTGTCTTTCTCAGCATCTCTTCTAGGCTTTTATGGGCTCTTCAGTGGCTCTGCATGCCTCTGTATCCCCTCATGTCCAGGCAGTGGCAAATAGAGGCCATGATGCCACAGCTACCAGCTTGGGAGCCAGGTGTCAGCGACTGACCCAGAGCTGCTTCTCACTGTGCTATTTCAGGCTTTTAGGACATGGGACTGTGGAATCTCCGCATTGGAAGAAAGAGATCTCAGAGCTCAGTTGATTCAGTTCCTGGTACCTGAATCCCCTCTAATCCTAGCAGTGGCATCCTTATTGAGCGCCTTCCCGTAGGTCATCACAATATTGCCACCAAGTGAGGGCCCAGTGTGTGAACACCTCTTGAGTTAGTCTGTTCAGCTCAGAGGTTTTGACTGCTGGAAACACACCCCTCACCCGGTGCTTAAGATCTTTTAGAACGTATAGTATAACGGAGGACAGCACATCCTGCTTGTATGTGAATCCAGGGTCCACCTACTAGCTGACTAACACTGGGCAAGTTACTGAGTCCTCTGTCCCTCACTTTCCTCATCTGAAAAATGGGGATAATAATATTACAGTCTCATAAAGCTGTTGTACAGATTAGGTGTTAATGCATGAAAAATTTTTTTTAAGTGCCTGGCATAGAGAAAGTAATGTATGTTATGTGTATATATAAATGTAAATATATTATTATGTAATATTGTTGTATATCATATATAATTATATGTCATGTATAATCAAATATATATCAAACATCTATCATACATACGACATATACACGCACATACCTATACTGTTATTATTATACTGTTCTTGCTACTGTAACTTAACAGCAACAAAACTCCTCAATAGAGAGAGGAGACTTCAAGTGTAAATCTTCCTGGGAAGGAAATGAATGATCTTTGCCTTGTATGAGCCATGTGCTTTACATGGCATCTTACCTAGTCTTCACAACAATATATATGAGAGATATTGTCAATTCCTATTTTACGGAGGATGAAACTAAGGCTCATGTCATCGGGCAAGCGCTCAAGGGTCATTGACATAGTAAGTGGCAGAGGTGGCCTTATTTCAAAGGCATTAAACTGCGGTGACTTAACTTCCTACGGAGGCAGACATGGCTGGGACCAGCTCTTTCTCTGAGAGGCGGCTGGTACCACTGGCTTCTGGATGAGGCATGGGTGACTGAAGAGAAGAATCTTGGAGGAGGAGGGCTATACGATGCGAGAGTGCGGGGCTGCCAAGGCGCCGGGTGATGGGAAGAATGTGGACACCCCTCTCCTCCCCTTCAAGACCCTCCGTCAGAGACAGACCCTGCTGCCCGCTGTGAGCTGCTCTTCCCTCCTAGGACTGTGTCAGCCGCTCCCTGCGTGTCCTTTACTCCCAGCATGCTCCTCTGCCAGCTGAGCAACCTCTCCTGCCTTCAAACCTTTTCCTTGCACAGTGGAATGACTTAATGGCTTCCTGCCAAGACCAAAATAGTCTGGGCTGTATTTATCTGTTCTGTGCTCACACAGGACGGGGAACATCACAGTAAAGCTTCAGTGCTCTTGAATTTGGATGAGGCAATGCTCAGACTAGTGCTTGGCAAATATATTTGCTTTTAAAATTTCTTTTGAAGTGAGCTGAGGTGAGGAGAGGAACAGAAGGCATAGAGAGGAATGAAAAGTTATGGGTCTTTTAGTCTTGGTCATAAGCTTCAGAAAATTCCTGTGCATGGGAGTGATGACTCAGATGGTAACCTAGCACTCGTGATAAGCAGCTTATCCATAGGATCTAACCACCGAGGTTTCCCTGTAGTACAATGAGAGACTTAGATGTACTGATCACCAGAACCCCATCGACTGACCACTAAGGCTTTATACCTTACCTCCACAATGGGATAGTTCTTGGCCCAAGTGCTATTCGCTGGGTCTGGAATTTCTTTGCTACACCACTGAGGTCTGAGGGCCAAAAGGAGAACAAATACCCTGCAGGTAAAGAAAACAGTGACATTGGTTAAGTGGGCACACGGTGGCCTGGAAGCACAGTGACTTCAGTGTAGGGGTATGCAAATGAGTAAACTGTAAACACTGCAGGAGAAAGATGATGCATCGTCCAAGTCTGGACTAGTTTTCTGTGAAGTTTGGATAGATGATAAAGACTCGTGGGGCAACGACTTAGGGTTTGCTAAATAAACTACGGAACTTTTGCTCGGTGTAATGTTTAGCTATCACTAAGCAGCCAAGCACTCACTCAACAAACGTTGATTGAATCCTTAATGTATGACCAGCACAGTGCCACATGCTGGGGATAAAACAGCAAACAAGAGGACATGGTCAATACCCTTGGGGAGATTACTATTTATATTTAGTAAATTAGAATGTTTATAAAGAGCTTGTAATGAAAACAAAGTAAAACGGGATACAGGTGGTATAAACAGCTTGGACATAACCAATTAAAAAAATGCCAAAAAAAAATACCAATATGGAAATATCCAAACTATTAAAGTAGTTGTATTTGGTGATCAGAGGGTCTTTTTATTTCTTCTTTCCACATCTCTGGGTTTTTGAAAATATTTTAAGGTGAGTTTATTATGTGGAAGAAAAAAATCCTAAAAATGTTTCTCACATGCATATGACTTAACTATTTTGACTATTTTTTTAAAAAAATTCAAGACCAATATGAAGCATTTTTAAAGACTTGGCTTTAACACACTTTGTTTAATAAGAAAAGTAAGCTTCTGGGATGTGTTCAACCCTTTGAAACAAGAGATGAGGCCATGTGACTAGGTTTTTTCCAAAGAAATGTGAGCAGAGGTACCTGTGACCTAGTATAGATCATGCGGATGAGGAAAGTACCCAAGGGATGGTGGGCCAATAAAGTGAAAGACAATTAGATCCCTAAATGACAGTGTGGAGCAGAGCTGCCAGCCAATCTGGATGACATACCTTAGAACTATTATATGGGAGAAAAATGAGCTATTTTATTAAAGCCACTATATTTGGGGGCTCTTTTTTTTTTCTTTAACAGCAGAAGCCTCCACCCTAACTGATACTATTTCCCTGAAGAGAGGATGCATGTGATCCTAGTTGACTCTTTGAGTTCAACTTTTTCAAAGTCTACCTAAAGAGAGCTCTGCTTTGAATTATCTATCACATATGGGGGAACTTCAATAAATGGAAAACCTTTCAGACAGGTTCAATGACTAGTAGAATGACTTTGAGCTAGTTTTATTTTAACCTCTTCTCCTATATTACACAACATCTGAAGAAAACTATTGAATAACTAACTCATTTTAAAAATTCTCTTTACCAAATAATACATGTTTAAAGAAATTTTAGGAAATACAGTTAAATAGAACTAAAAGCGCTATGATTCTATCCCCTGTTATAACCACCATTAATATTTTAGTGTATGTCCTTGGAGCAGAGAGTATTAACTGCCGTCCAATACCCATTTTCCCCTCTTTCTTAGAAAGGGGACCCTGATTTACTGGGACAACAATAAGCCCAGCTAAAAGGCCACAGTTTTAAGCCTTCCTTGCCTCACCAAGTTCTGGCTAATGAGAGGTAACCTAAAGTGCCATGTGTGACTTCTTCATGTGTCTTGAAAAGGTGGGTGTGGGCACCTCCCTTCTCCCTGTAGTTGTAGAATGCAGGCATGATGACCATAGTTCCTGCAGCCATTGGACCATGAGGTGAACTTGATGATGAAAGCCAATGTCGGGATAGTGAAGCAGAAAAAGAAGGAGCCTAGGTCTCTGATGACTGGGGACCTCCTACACCAGCCGTTACCTGAGTTTACTTACTTTACCTGGGTGAGAAACTTAGCTCATTTGTCATATTTTTATGTTACATACAACCAAATTAAATGCTAACTAATATACCTTGCGTGTCTGTGGGCACGTGTGTATGCACTATTTTTAAAAAATGAAAGTACATGTTTTGCAACTTGCTTTTTAAAATGTAACATAGCAAATATTCATACCATTTAATTTTCTTCTACATCTTTAATGAATGCATAGTATGCTGTATAGCATGAAATATACTGATTTATTTAACCAATCCCACATCGTTAGGCATTTAGGTTGCTTCAGATTGTTTTCCTTCTATGAACGATACTTCAGTGAACACAGTTGCCACTAAATATTTGTATATACCTATGATATAGTGAGATGGGAATTGCTAGGTGAAATGTTTAATATTTTTAAAAATTAAACATATACTGTCACCCCAAAAAGGTGAATATATTTAGTGTGCTACCAGCGATGTAGGAGAGTAACCATTTTTTTGACCCATAGCAGCAACAGCTATTATATGAAAAAAAAAAAATTTACCAAAGTTGGCAGGTGTAATGAACTTACTTTTGCCGGAAGCAACGCACTGAGAGAACGCCCACCATGATGACACCCATGCAAATGCTTGGTGCCACAAATGTGCTCCAATTGGCTTTACCTGAAACGAAAAGTTAGCATACCCTGTGACTGAGTTATCGTCAATGAACATTTCTAAATACTGACTGTTGTGTGAACCCGCTGGGCTTTGCCCACAGCTCCTGGATAGCTAGACTCAGGAACAAGGCCAACTCTCTTTTGCCCATTGAAGAAGGAAGAAAGGGCCCAAAGGGGCCAATACTAAGGTTCCAAGGAAGGAGCTCCAGCCCTACAAGGGCTTCTTCCTCTAATAGGTGCAGAAAGAAAGGGACTGTGGTATACAAAGCACTGGTTGTGAACTGGGAGCCCTGGATTCCATTCCTAACTCTGCCGCTGACTGATGTGTGGACCTCAGATTCTTGATCTATAAAAGGTGAACGATGACATCTACCTTGCAGGTTGTTGTGAACATTAGAGATGGTGTATTTAAAGGGCACAGCCATGTACTTGAACAGATGAGGCCTCAAGAAATGGTAGCTATCAATTTTACCAAACCATTGGATAAGCCCTCTGTCTACCTAGGGTCTTTGAAATTGTTCTGATTCCTTCCTATGACATGTAAATATTTCACTACGTGTTGGAAGTTTTCATTAATTCATCCAACATTTATTGAATGTAAACCATGTAACAAGCCAGATTAGGTGCTGTAATACACAGATGAATGGGACATGGGCTCTGAAGACAGTCCAGGAGACAGATGTGTAAACATGTAAACAGTAAACCATGATGCCACGGGATACATCTAAAAACAGCATGTACAAGGCTGTGTCACAGAGAACAGCATGGGAAATGGCTTCACGAGCAGCTCAGGAAGGTTTCCCAAAAGGCAGGATGTCGAAAGTTTAGAGTCGGATGGCTAGGAGTTGGCTAAGTGGACAAATTAGGGAAGTGCAGACTAGACAGCAAGCGCGGAAGGAGGAAAGAGCGAGTGCTTCAGCAACCGCAAATAGTCTGGTCTTGCTTTCCAGTATGAATGATGAGTATGCGGCAGACAACAAAGCTAGATGGATGAACAGGACCAGGTCGTGCAGGGCTTGGTAACAAAGCAGTTTAAATTCTAGCTTGAAAGCCCGTGGGGAACCACCGATGGGTTGCAACAGGAGGTAGAATGTCAGCAACAGGGATCTTGTAGAAAGATTCTTCTGATAGAGTGAAGAACAGGGTGGGAGGGAGGGTGACCAGGGGCCACTAGCGGCCAGAGACCTGCTAGCCCCTGTGACAGGGGCTTTTCCCAGGGCTGAACAGGGGAGTTAATGCAGGAAACCTTGTTACCACCCCAGACAATCGGCACAATCTGACATTTCGTTAGCATCTGCCTTTCTTTCTGGGCAGATGGGACGAGTCTGGAGTACCAGGAGTAGAAAGATGCTGAGTCCTTAGTCCAATTAATTGCTCACAAGTTAACTTTCATGGGAGTGCTTGAGAAGAGGGCTTGCCACTTTTCCCAGTGGAGGAGTATCTGGCATAGAACAACAAAGTCCTGAATGATTAACTTGATACTCCATGTCACAAAGCAAGAACAGCTTGTTTTATGCTTAGAGCAGATGCAAACAGGGGCTGCCAGAGAGAAAAGCATAATTTAGCCAGTGGAGAGAAACTCATGTTAGCTGGGTCACTTCGTCACATACTCAAATCTGTGTCTGATTTGTAGTTCTGCCACTTGCCACCTCTAAGACCTTGGGTAATCTTTTTGTACCTCACACCTGTAAAAAGGCATCATAATCTCTCATTCTTTTATTCATTTCATATTGAGTGCCTGGTAGTATGGCCAGGTACAGGCGTGTAAAGCAGGCACATTACATGGTTGTGGGCAGGATTAAACGAGTAAACGTATGTGTTACATGTGTTGAATTGTGTCCTCCCACCCCCAAAATTCATATATTGAAGTTCTAACTCAATAAGTACCTCAGAAAGTGACCTTATTTGTAAATAGGGTCATTGCAGAGGTAATTAGTTAAGACAGGTCAGGCTGGAGTAGGGTGGCCCCTAGCCTGACATGACTGGTATCCTTGTAAAAAGGGCAATTTTGAACAAAGAGAAACACACAAGGAAAACTCTAAGTGAGATGAAGGTAGAGATCTAGAAACCAAGGAATGCCAAAGATTGCCCCCAGTTGCGAGGTGAGAGGCATGGAACAGATTCTCTCACAGCCCTTGGAGGAAGCCAACTCTGTTGACACCTTGATCTCAGACTTCCAGCCTCCAGAACTGTGAGGAAATGAATTTCTGTTGTTTAAGCCACTCAGTTTGTGGTACTTTGTTACAAGAGCCCCAGCAAACTAATGCAGTATTCAAAGAGCTTAACACGTGCCTGGCACATAACTAGCTGATATGCAGTAGCTGTATTATTTTGGGGATTATTCTCATCATTCACTGAACAGATATTCATTTAACAAGTACTATGTGCTGGGTGCCATTCTAGACCTTGATGATAGAGATTAAACAGATACTAGTCCCTGCCTGTTGGATTCAGAGTTTTGAATAGGGGTCAAGTATAGCGCATTATGAAGGAAATATGGATGTGCATTTGGGAAGGCTTTCTGGAGGGGGCAACATTTTTGCTGAGTTTAGAAAAACGAGTAGACACTGTCTCCAAGCAGACAATGTAATGGTAGGGCACTGTGGTTAGAGGAAATAGCAAGTGCAAAGGTATAGCAGCAAGAAAGTAATTAGTGAATTACAGAAAATCTGATAATCTCCATAGCAAGTAGTGGGAGTATACTCCTGTATAGGAATTCACAGTGGACTTGCCTTCTCTAAGGGTGGTTCTTACCTTGCAGACAAAATTCTCTTTCATTTCCTTGGGGGCTTTCACCAGCAGCTGTCAGAGCTGTCATCCATAGAATGTATGTCACTCTGGGCCGCAGGCTGTCTATGGGATGAGGATTTGGGGAGACCCTATAGGGAATTTCTGAAAGGAAGATAAATATAAAGGTTAAGGCACAAATTAAAGGAAATATCTGAATGTGGGCTCTTACTCATTTTTATTTGTTAATGCTTCATTTAATTTGAAAGAGAAAAGCACATTGCTGCTTTAAAGTAGTCCTAATTCATTAATACTTAACACTTTAAAAGGCCCTGGGCACTGTCATT